CGTAATTCTCGGAGAGCGACTTCAGCAGGCTCCACTCTGTCGCGCCCTCAACTTGACTCTTGGTCCAAATATGAAGAAGTTATTCGACACCTTAGTTGAAACTTAGTTGAAAAACATGAACGGGTATGAAAGAAATGTATCCAATTTTTAAATCTAATAAGCAATTTTTATCTTGTTTAGCCTTCCCTCTCTATGGGTTAGTTTCTTTACATAAATGTGTTCATTCGAATACTGATTTTGCTTCTTTGACCAGTGCAGTACATTTTAATGTGCAACGCGTATAGAGGCATACAACAATTGTTTGCATTCCCTATTCAAGAATGAATGCAAGGAAATATTCTTTTTTTCCCGCGAGTCATATCGCTTTTTAATGACATTATTAATGATATCAATTGATATTTTTAAAAGGATTAATGTTTTTAAGAGTAGTATATTGAAGTTTTTTAACAAGTAATTTTGTTGTTGGTTTTTCTTTATTTGTGTATAATGTAAGGTTTTTTTAAAACCATTTTTGTGTATTTCTGTATTTTCCGGGTCTCGTAATTGGGAATTTTAACCTGTAGGTCAAAAATTTAAATAAATAAATAAATAAATAAATAAATAAATAAATAAATAAATAAATAAATAAAAACCTATATTATACGTGTATTTTTTTAAGCACGAAAAAGCTGCTATTTGACTACCATACTTTTGATTACGAAACGAAAGCGCGTGTATATCTATTCTAGGGTGTATTACACTAGAAGAGCATACAACACAATATTGACCTTTTTGAATCTGATGTACGGGCATATACTAACCAATGGGATTATAATCAAAACTGGAGGATGCTGGCCTTGCAGGTGACATTGCCCATTTGTCTCAAACTAAGAGAAGACAGGAGAAGACAGAATAAGTCTCAGGATCCACCCTGAAAAAAACCAAGGTTATGAAATCACAACCAAAATCTGTGTGCATTGGATAAATATAGGAGAGGTACACAATTTCCAATTTCTTGGCAGCTATATATCGAGATGAAAACCTCCACTTAAATTAGTATTGCAGTAGACTGCCGAATATTACGGAATCATCATTCCTGAAAACCAGCACTATGTTGAAAATCAGGGGAAGCAACAAAAAGATCGATAGCAGGCTCAGAGTCTGTCTTGAAAAGCCAGTGTCTCTGCCGAAATCTGAAAGTGGTCTGGTCACGCCATATCACAAAAAAGAAATCAGTAGACGCACAGGCATCAACAATATATCATCCATGAACCAAATAAAGACGCTGGCGATGGTTTGGCCATGTAATAAAAATGAATAGGACCAGACATCAACACACTGCACTGGGTACAACCAGGAAATAGAAGAAGACGTAGACCAATAGCACCTGGCGGAGAACAGTGGAAGGGTAAATGGTAGAAATAGGGAATGAGATACATTGACAAGTATGAACGAAATTTAACAACACACGATTGGGATCTTGTTTCGATCTTCTAAATTGAATGAATTATAAGTAGAAAGATTGTCGCCATTTGAACACCTTGAATTGGATTACAAAACAAATGCACGTGTTTATATTTCCTAAAATATAAATGTATGTTATTTGAACGTAATTAGTAAGGACATGGCCGATACACAGGTGTGGAAAGACACTAATATGTAAAATTCCCCCGATTTTACGATTAAAACATTTTTGAATAATTAATAAATTATTATTTTATTTTGTTTTCAAAAGTCAGATATACAGTGCATTATAATATGACATATCTTCAACGACTTTATTGTAAAAATAACAACGAACCATCATATTAACATCGCAAATCATTTGCTGGAAGATAATATGTTCGATGTACATTTGATTGTCACATGCAAATGAGTCTACATGCCTTCGCAACAAATTAATCCATAGTATACATTTAAGACGAATTTGATGCCAAAATGGTTGAAAACAGGACACATTTGAATGAACTAAGTAACGTTGAAAAGTGTTTTCATTTTTAAAACATATATAATACAACAAATGTCAATTCTTGTACTAAAAAAAAACTACAATGTTATATTTGTGTCCAGGAGAGGGTTGCATTACACAATCGATTGAACAAATCGTCTCATGTTCATAAATTAATATTCTTGAGCAATGCCAAATAAATCGTCTTTTCAGGAAAACTGTGCCAAAATGCTTTCCAATATCCAGCATGGTAGTTTTAAATTGATTCTATCGTTACGAGCTAAGGAAGCTATCAAACAAAAGCTAAAATCTAAAAAAGTTATCAAACAAACTGGTGTAAAAATGTGTTTGGAAATACAAACCCGATCAGAGTTGAGCACGCTGTTTTGTTAACTTGATAATAGCAAATTACAAATGTATATAGAACACAGATTTAGAAGCACCTTACTATTTCACTCTAGTGCAATTGTACATAAAATTATATACTTCTTACTAACTTTCATCATTGGTAAGTTACCTAATTAGTATGCCTTTCGAGTAATTACTGTGTGTGAACATGTGAAGTTTAAATGCAAGGAAATCACGCAAAGAACTCACTTCTGCAAAAAATAGTAGCGCCAAACAAGTCGTCAGTTAATTGTTTGCAATAGGCGCAATTTTAGCCTGCGTACGACTGACTTCAACATGTTCCATCAAGATTGGGTGGCGCCCTCTCGTGCCAATCTAACCCGTTTGTATCGGAACTTCTGTTATGATCAATTTATCTTCAAAACAATTAATGAAAAAAAAGGAATACATTGTGTCTGAATGATTTTCACATATTTTTTTAATTATTTTTGTCTATTTTTTATGCCCTTGTTAAGTTTCAGTTTGTATAACGTATCTTGGCGACCTCCTAATTTATTCTGCAGACATCGACAGACAAACCAATGAAAAGAAAAAGCTAAAAGCAAACTAATCCATCTCCCACAAAATCATAACAAAATAATCCAGGCCATATATTTACCAAATTCCTGAAATATATGTTTATAATCTCCGCCCTAAACATGCAAGTTGTTGATTTTAAACAATAGTCTAACAGCGTGTGAACCGAATGTGCGAACGTGAAATCGCTATCATGATCTTACGTGCGATCTTACGTAGTGTGTGTCATATTTGCCACTACTCTATGCGACTTGTTTTGCGAGAACTTCCATCGGCTGTCTATAGTAGCTTGTTGGCAACAAGTTTTCACGGTATGATGATCCATCCTACTACCTCCATATATTTTCGTAAAGAGAAGAAATGATACGAAACAATGCGATAAAGATATGTCTATATGCTTGGATCGGATTTTATTCTATAAACCAAGCGCTGTGCAAGAATTACAATAATAAAGTGACACCCAAATTACTGGATCACGTAAGAATATGTTAATCAAATTAACCTGACTGTCGCTGGCACAAAAGCACAACGGCGTAGTTCACGGCTAAGCATTAAAAGGATAATGACAATATATACAGATTAAACTTCATTTACTTATGGTCTACTACTACATTTGAAAAGATAAGAAACATTTTACTACAGCTGAGCACGTGGGTTCAGCTGAATATAACATCTTTATATCATTATGTTAGTAATCGCATGCATTAAACCACTATATCTCCCAAATTGACAGGCAAATACATTATCATACAAAAGTGTGTTCATTGTTAAAAACTACGAGAATGATTATGCTACTTTTGTACTAAAACAACCCGTGTACAAATTTGGGTCCAGACCACAAATATGCATACAGGCTCTGAACACTGAGACATAGTGATTTTTATTAACTGGCTCAATTCCACGAATGCAGAAAAGAGGCCCTGGTTGCAGACCTCGTAACTCAAGATAATTCAGCATTGCCCGAACGGGACAAAATCTCTCGTCTTCCGAGGATGAGATAACTATGGAAGGATGGTTAGGTCGGCAAAGTGCTATACCGCTAAATGCGTCTGAACCAGATTCTGTCGGATTAGAAATGAAAAAGATGTCATCTAGTTGAATTAAATGATAATTTTTAGTTGATTTTGTCAAGGTCATCTCGTCAATTTGTGTACGTGCATGAAATGAAAACAGAAACATTGAGCGGAATAACCTTCCGGCGTATGTGTCACCTCTAGTCTGGACTAAAGTTATAATAAGCTGATGTAGCATTGTGAGTGTGATGGATTGACGAGTTACTATTGGACATTGTTGTAATGAAGTTAGAATTTTTTGTATGACAAAACTTGTGACAGGGCTGTTGACACCTAAAACGACATGCATATAACTAATTGCAGAACTGTAACTCTCAATGGTTGACTGGGTGTAACCTTTGACCCGCATATACGAAATAAACAATGCCATTACGGGGACAGAGAGTGGGATTTGGAAAGATATAAGGGAGCTGTATTGGGAGGTGAAGCTCAGAAAGCACTTCCATGCTTGTCTGTGTCGTGCAATTGCAGCTGAAGCAAGGCGACCTTGAAGAACTTGCTCTAGATGCTCAACAATCTTGCCATCAAAGAATGTTTTATGCTCGAGGCATGTCTGTCCCATGGTTTCGTTACGATGTTCTGCATGTGAGTACCCTGTAATTAGATTAAATACAAATAGTGAATAGTACTTTAATGTAACAATAAACGATTAACATAATTTGTTGTGCTAACATATTTATTTTTTGTATGAACCTTCACATGTTTTCATCTCAATAGCGTACGACGAAATGACATCATGTTACCTGTAGCAGGAGATGACATCGATGTAGGCTTCGTCTCCAAATCACTGTATGGTTGTGAAATATAGGAAAACCAGGCATGTTTGTGCATTTGCATGGCGTCCGCTTTGACTGAATTCGCGTTCTCTACAGGCATTTTCGTTAGATCGATGATGGTCGTGAGCATTTCTACGCAATGTAGAAGAGGTGCCGATGGCGCTTCGAGTTGACCAGTGGTTAATGGTATTTGGTGGTCATCGTTTGTACCGTACTTTTGATTCATTTCGCCGTTTGATACTGATAGCGTATCTTCTCGGCTTGCTTTGCCATAAACGTGGTTCATTCCTGACAACATCTTTAGAGCTTGCTTAAGCTTTCTTTGAGAGGACTAGTTGGATCGTTTATCTGTAATAAAAATATATTTGTTACCATTATCGATTGTTAATCAAATATAAATAATCAGTCAGAAATCAATCGTCGGAATCATACAGCGATGTCCAATGTTCAATTGTTTATATGGACATTGACGCATTAACGTTACTATACTCTTCCAGTACACAGTAGTCAACACGTAAAAACGGCCACTACACTATATCAAAGTATTTTTATGAGAACTTTTGTATACAAGTATACCACGTACAACCAGAATAAAATTATGTAAAATATAACTAGCATTATATATGTGAAAATTGATTGATTCGTGCATAGGCAGGCCAGAAGGGCACATGATTTTGGCTGGTGAGCTAAAAACACCATTCTTCAAATGTCCTGCCATCATGAATCTGTAATTCTGCACAGTAGAATAAAACAACATCCCTGAATCGCCTAAATGCCTATTCACGATTGATATGAATATAAACTTGGTAACTCCTTGAAGACATACAGCTGTCATTATTTATGAGTCGACAAGTCACCAACACAGCTGGCGTAGCATGTCAATACAAAAGAAAATACCAACTTTTTCAACGCCTTGTTACGTTTCTTTCAAATTGGATAAGTAGTATAATTTTATCTTCATGCCTGCTGTTTGTTCCCAATACAAAATTGAAACAGTATATTAAATATATTCTGGCCATCGTTCCAAAATGTTATCCTTATTCAATATCATAGTGCCATAATTTGATTTTATGCATCAACTTGACGTGCAAATCTTATGGCCTAAGATTGATTTCATTAGCTCGTGCATCAGAGCTGAGTTAGTTCTTATGAACATATAACCCTTTTAATAAGCATATTAAACTGTAATATATCAAGGACTGTGTCAGATAAGACAATACAAGCACTGTAATATTGAATATGATAAGTGACTAACTTATCAGATAACCGTATATGGTCATGTAAACTCACTAATTGGCACAACTGATATATCTAGAGAACTGTCGTAGAAAGAGACATGCTACCAGTACTTTAGTGAAGGGAAAGGAAAATGTGATATGACTGAAATATGAGATGACCGTATATGGTCATGTAACCTCAATAGTATTCATAACTCTCACATGCTACCATGACAGTAATTATGGTGTTTGATCAGAGAAATAACTCAGACATGCACATGCAATTAGTGCTTTAATGAAGGCATTAGAAAAGATATATGATTACAATAACATATGATGCTGTTACCTTATTATTATTTATACTGTAATGTGTAAAGCACTGTTGCATATAGGAACATGCAATCAGTGTTATTTCGTCAGCATTGGAAAATGATGGAACTAGTATAAAAGATGACTATATAATGCATAACTATATGAACACACAGCAATTCCAATATGTAAAGATTAGAATTCAGATGTAACAAAAATAATATCACAATGCCTTTAAACTATATATTGACAGCAAGGGTCATATCATTTTCCCACAATGCATTGCAAACTGCATAAAAATATGAAACAGATTCTAAATTCTGCTTCTCCGAAACCGCTGGCTACACTGGCCTGAAATTTTCATTTTTGGTTGCACGTGGCGAGGAGCACGACTTCGTTGAATTTTTAACTTGAATATGATCATTAGTGTATGAGTTGTCGTACTTTAACGAAGTGGGTTTAATATTGTCACAGTCCACGTGTGTTACCTAACCCTATTTTGCGTGGAAGGACAATGGACCAATGACCTGTAGAAATTGTACCTGGTCAACGTACATATCATAGTAAGCGCTATCAACGCTAACCAACCACCTGCTTAGCCCATTCACGATAAATACCTTGCATTCCTGCAGCTTGTCTCCAGGTGGTGAGAGCAATTTAGTACTGCAAAAACAGTCCTCTTCTAGTAGATGGGTATGTTTGGGAACAATTAAACTAAAAACGGGTACTGTTAACTGAGAGAGAGTACTTTCCTAAAAAAATGCTTAACAAAAACAGTTCGATATTACAGGTTAGAACTGTCAGAACAATACCAACAAGCCAACAAATAGTATAACAAATGTTTTGTTCACTCTTGTGTAGAAGTATTTCAAATTGCTTACAACTGGCTATTCATTCTGAAGCTGTGTGAGTTGGTCATATGAAATCAGTTAAATTCATTGGATCAAAACATTGTGGAAAACCTGCTATGAAGTGCTGCTAATTTAAGTGGCTATTTTAGTAACACTGATGACCTGGGGTCACGTTCACCAGGAGCCGAGAACAAACTTCTTATTTATCGATTTTTATGTTGACATTTGTTCCAAAAGTCTAATTATTATATTAGAGTCTCAATTATTGTTATGAACATTAGCGAAGTTCAAATATGAGAAATAATTCTTAGTTAGAACTTTCGGGTATTCAGAGCGCATTATGAGAGTTGTTATGAACATCGTGACTGAATTA